AGGTAAAAAATTGTGTAGATTATGAGGATCAAGTACAGTTGTGTCAAATACTCTTTTCTGGTTTGATCTAAGTATGTATGATATATTGAAGCAATATTTCGTCAATTCATCCAAGTAACGAATTTGTCTGCACCTTAGAAATGTGTAAGTCCTATTACTCATTAGTATTATATACGATTAATCGGTAAAAGGAAAGATGGCAGTCATTCCTTCGGGGTTTGATGTGGTCTAATGGCTGGGCACACGGTCTAGCATCCAGGAGGGCAGAGGTTCGAGTGCGTGTGGGGCTAGCGTTTTCGTTCACCAAAACCCCCTTCAATACGATGTTTGTTGTCCATATGTTGCTCAGATATGAGAGAAAGATAACAGAAGGACGGATTGATATGTCAAAGTGCCATATTGGAATAGTACAAGTTCTTTGTTTTTATTAATAATAATGCTATAGAAAAAAAAACTACAAGTGTGGTAGATTTCCATTTTACGTTTTAATTAAACCAATGAGAGAAAAAAAGGTATATATATAAGTTATTGACATAACATGTTTTTTTATAACGCTAGTGTTAAGTTCCAGGATTTTGTATGGACCACTAATAATAATTGGTTTAACGTTAGCATAGCTGTGATATTCATATTAGTTCAATGTTGTGATTACTTAACAGTTCCCTTATAAGTTGTGTTTAAAATTAGGTATGTGGAATCAATGCGGCTAACATAGTAACCTTACAGTAACGCACTGTACTATATCTTTACGGTTATTGATTCTTAAATGTCAGAAATTTAAAAAAAATTTGAATATTGCCAATAATGATGGGTTATATGATCACACTAAAAAGCATGCTGTAGAAAAACTGGTTAAGTCATTATGTTAGTTTCCTAAACATGCAAAAAAAATGATGAGAACTTTATTAAGTATTTGACCATAGTTTAATCCAAAATGTTTTGTCTAGAAAACCACTTATTAATAGTAGTATTAAGCGTATCAAGCTACTAAACACATCTTCGACCGAAGACTTTTAGAAGTAGTTCATATGGTATATATGTATAGCCAGTCTACGTGAAAAATGTATATAGATATATAAGACGTACAGCCAACATAGTTAATTAACCAGAAAAAGAAATTATAAAACTCGCCTGGGTTGCTTTTTGAATTCGTTGTATTTGCCAGTGATAGTTGTATGAGTTTTAATTAAAATCCGCAGCCGTCGTTTCGGAATACCTAGCTTATGTGTCCAGTATTTTAAAAAAATATTTAACATAACACTTATATATCAAAGGCAAAAGGTCTGGGGAGTTGTAGGTGATACGGAATGAGGAAAAAAATTATTTTTAAGTAGATGCAGGGTCTGATTAGCTACGTGGTCAGATTTTATCCTGCAGCCGAAACTGTCAACATCCTTGACTGACTAATTGGATGTGCCCAGCGAACAGTTTTAGTCATTTGTAAAGATTTATCATCTTTACGTTTCGATTCCGTAATGGATTTGTCAGTTAAACGATCTAACAACACGTATGGTGGTTCATGATCTAGATAAGCCGGCTTTAGCCTATCAATACTTACTGTGTCGATGTTTCCATGTTTTTCTATCACGAAATATTTAGATTTTCTTGAGACGACTTTGAAAGGACCTTCAAATGGAGGGCTAAGTGGTGCTTTTATTTTGTCACATCTTATCCAGACGTGCGTGCAATTGCTTAGGTCTTTAGGTACATATACGGCACGCGATTGTTCGCGAGTATTAATTGGCTTAAGTTTGGACATATGGTCCCGTAGTTGATCTACGTAGTTTCCTAAATTAAGTTTTTGACTGTTAGTATTGGGGTTAATAAATTCACCTGGTAGTCTCAGAGTTGTTCCGAAAAGCAGTTCCGCAGCTGAACACTGTGCGTCAGTTTTGACAGATGTTAGTATTCCCAACATAAATAACGGTAGGAATTGTGTCCACTGATTGGGGTTTGAGTGAGATATAAGGGCGGTTATTAGCTGACGGTGAAAACGTTCTACCATCCCATTAGCCTGAGGATGATATGCAGTGTAGCGTATCCTATTGAAGCCTAGAAGTTTAGCCAAGTTATTAAATAGTTCGGATTCGAATTGCGCTCCTCTATCCGTCGTTATTGTTATGGGTGTACCAAAAATGGTTACCCAGTTCTGCATGAAAACTTTGGCTACTGTTTCCGCTGTGATGTCCGCTATCGGGATGGCTATAGGGAATCTGGTAATTCGATCTATGCATGTAAAAAGATAGTTAAAACCGTTTGAACGTGGTAAAGGACCTACCAAGTCGATATGCACATGGGCAAAACGTGCATCTGGTTGCGAGAAAACACCTATGGGTGAATTTGTGTGACGATTAATCTTTGATTGTTGACATGCTGAACACTCTCTAACCCATTTGTGTACATCCTTCTGTAAATTTAGCCATATATATCTGGCATTGATTAGTTTTGTTGAAGCTTTCGCGCCAGGATGAGACAAAGAATGAAAGTTAATATATATCAACTTTCGCATATTTTTGGGAACGAAAGGTCGCGGCATTGCCTTGGTCGTGTCACAATAAATTAGAATACCATCGATAGGTGATGGGAATTGTTTTAAATTAAGACTTGAATTGTTTGTTTTAAGTAGGTTTTGCAATTCTAGGTCCTGCTCTTGTTCGTGTCTTAACGTCTCGAAGTTTACTGTAGACTGCTGTAGCCCGTTCATTTCTAGTCTGGATAAAGCATCTGCAGCCTGATTGTCCTGACCTTTGACATGTCGGATATCGCTTGTGAACTGTGATATATAGTCAAGGTGTCGGACTTCTCGAGGTGAGTGTTTATCGGCTCTCGCTTTTAACGCATTCGTCAGTGGTTTATGATCCGTAAAGACTATAAATTCCCTACCTTCTAACATGTGTCGGAAGTGTTTAATGCTCAGGTAGATTGCAAGAAGTTCTCGCCCGAAGGTAGAATACCTTGTTTCGGCTGGAGCGAGTCTTTTCGAGAAAAAAGCAATTGGTTTCCAGGCGTTTTTAACCAGTTGGTTAAGGGTACCGCCTACTGCTTTATCTGAAGCATCCACCATCAAAGCAAGTGGGGAAAGAGAATTCGGATATATCAACGTAGTTGCTTGAGCTAATTTATCTTTAAGCTGTTTAATAGCTTCGACGGCGTCAGAAGACAGTTCGAATTCTTTCGGTTTTCCTTTGAGTGAATCTGTCAAAGGTTGCATTAATTGTGCACGACCTGGTATGAATCTGCGATAAAAGTTAATTAGACCCAGAGAACTTCTCAGTTGTGTTAGAGGACTAGGTACGGGGTATTGTTTAATGGTGTCCACTTCTTTTTTGATAGGTTTAATCCCTTCTGGGCGTATTGTGTGACCGAGAAATTCTAAAGTTTGAACACCGAAAACACACTTACTTTGATGTATGTTTATTCCATGTTCATCCAGTCTTTTCAACACTGCTTGTACATGCTGTTCGTGTGATTGCAAATCGGGGCTGGCAATTAACAAGTCGTCTATATACCCCTGCGCAAATGGCATATCTCGAAGTAGGTTATCTATGAATCTTTGAAATGTCTGTGCCGCATTTCTCAGGCCGAATGGCATGCGTACAAACTCGAATAAGCCAAAGGGTGTAGTAATAGCTGTCTTGGGAATATCTTCATCAGCCACCGGGATATTGTGATATGCCCTGACTAAGTCAATTTTAGTGAATGTGTTAATACCCTGTAAACCGTTGGTGAAATCTTGGATATGAGTTATTGGGTACCTATCTGGTACGGTTTGACGGTTTAGGGCTCTGTAATCCCCGCACGGTCGCCAGTCACCTTCATTCTTCTTTGGGACCATATGCAAAGGGGATGGCCATTGACTATCAGAGGGACGGATAATACCCAATTGTAGCATATAATCAAACTCGGCCCTAGCGATTTTGAGCTTATCTGGTGCTAGTCTCCTGGGCTTTGCAAGCACCGGTGCACCTTCGGTTTTGATAGTGTGACTCACTTTTAGTTTGTCTTTAGAAGGCTGTGGGTTTGGTTTAGTTAAGTTTGGAAATTCCGCGAGTATATCTTGGAATTTCGCTGTTGTTACTGGGGGAGTTTGAATCAAGTTAAGAGAGCTGATGTTACTTTCTTTGCCTTTTGTGTAATACGAAGTTTCTTTTAGTGTTAATCGCTGTTTCTTGGTGTCAACTAGAAATTCGTATCTCTCTAGAAAGTCCATCCCCAGTATTGCCAGATCTAGGTCGGCTACCGTGAAAACCCAAGGGAATTGACTCCTGAACCCCAAATCTAGGGTTAAAGTTTTCTGCCCAAATGTCGCAATTTTAGTTTTATTTGCAGCTTGAAGTGTAATTGATGATGTTTCTCGACTAATCTCAGTTTTATTTCGAGGGATGATGCTAAGAGCAGCGCCAGTATCCACCAAGAAATTCAAGCCCGAGTTTCTGTCTCTAACATAAAACAAGCGACTGTTTAGGCGCCCCTCCTCAGTCATCGCGACCTGGGGAGGGGTTACTCGTTTCCCGCTGTCTTAGAATTATGTTTAGGCCAGGCGCATGGTTGCGTGCACTTGGTTGAGTTGACACCAAACTTCCAGTGGTACCAACAAAACTGCCCAGATTGTCTGGACATTTGTGACCTGTTTTGTGACTTGGATCGTGGTCGTTGTGGTGACCTGCTCCTGTTTCTATGACCCAGTTGCATTCTGGTGACAGCCTCAGTGAGACTCTTAACACTCGCAATGAGTCCTTCTATGACGGGGTCTTTTGCTGATTCTACTTTTTGTGTGTGATTTATTGTGCCTGATCCAGTTGGAGGACCTCTTTCCATTATTCTGTCGGCTATACGCGCTAAATGAGATAATGAGGTTTCAGGATCCTGTGCATCCAAACAGTGTTGGACGTAGCATGGGAGAGCTTGTATCCATCCTTGTTTTAGGACTGCTTCACCCACTGTGTTATCACCCACTAAGACTTGGAGGTGACGTAAAAACTGTGACGGCGACCGATCACCTAGTGTTTCACCTTGAAAAGTCTTTGGATTCTTTGACTATCTGATAATGATAAACGGTTCATTATCTCTCGTCTTAAGATGGTGTATGGTTGTGGTGATGGTGGACTTAAAATCAAGTCACGGACTTCTTTGGCGACTGAAGGAGGAAGGATAAAACACAAGTCTCTATAGCGAATCCCTTCAGATTTGATATTGTGTCTCGTGAAATAATGCTCTAGTTGAGCAAACCACAACTCAGGATCACTACGATCAAATTCTGGAAGTCGGGATTTCGTAGTCATAACAGTGTCTATCTCCACTGGTGACAAATCCTCCAGATTATGGGTTTCTATTGAGTCTGACATGAGGTATGTGACAAATTTAGCAATAAAGTTAGCACAAAAAGTGGTTACTATAACACGAATAACTTAAGATAATACGGAATAAACTAGTTATATACTCAAATTAGTTTACGGATAATCAGGTCTACTTTTACGATTAAGTAAAAAAAATGTTAATAACAGAAATGAGGTTAAATTTGTGTTCAAAAAGGGCTTACCAGTTTCGTGCCTTAAGGTAACCCTCGTGCTATTGATAGAAGAAACCAGAGAAGTAGTGAATAGGTCTTTATTTCGATCTTCGTGCAGTCACAGTGGAGCGTGGGATTATCTGTTCAGACAAACAAAGGCTCTCAACATTCAATATAAGATAATAGGGAATATAACGCTTATGAAAAATAAGGAAGTGAATGAATACTTGAACAATACTGTTTTGGCATAAGCTTGGTTGTTTGGGGTCAACTCTTAACCAACCAACCTGAGCTGTTACAAGCTTATACAGATCGTAGTTCTTCTAATTAGACTCATAGAATGCGGTTACTGGAGAAAGGTTTGTTGTTATGGACGAACCAATCACTTATAAAGTAACAGGTCTCGGACTTTAGCGCGAAATTCTCTCATTCATCTGAATAAATAGTGTTTTGGACTATAGCTGACGAAATTTCGTGACGAAAACGCGAAATTTGATACATAGTCTTATTCACCAACTGTAAATCACAATTCCAAACTTTCACACAGGTTTATAACTATTTTGGTCCTGGTAATTAGGTGCATACTCTCAAGTTCAGTCTGGCGTTGCTTAAAGATCGTCCATAAATTATAGTCTCACCTGTTGTGTTTTGAACGATGTTATTATGAGTAGGCTACTGTTGTCTACAGTCTCGAAACAACATCGTATGTCTTCAGTTGAGCAAGTCTTACTGGCCAACAGTTATACTATTGGTTCTAAAACCTTAATTATCAACAGATGGTACGAATCTACGTGACTTAGTTACTTAACCCGAATTGTCTTTTCAAGTGACTTAACAACTATGCTGGTTAAACTACTAGATTGGTAGTTAGATACGATCTGTCTCTGACCATCCTTAAATATAGGACTGACTATAGCATCTTTTTAATCTCTAGGGTGTGGGGCGAGTGAAAGGGAGATGTTCAAGAGCGTCGCGAATGATCTTGAAATAATGTCCGCAAGAGGTGACAGCAGTCGTGGATGTAACCCATCAGGGCTCAGTATCTTACAAGGTTTGAGGTTAGCCCCAGCTCTTACCAGTTCTGATTCAGCTAGTGGTAACAGGCTTAAGTAAGTAAGTAAGTAAGTAAGATTCAGCTGGTAAATCCGAATTTTCGTGTAACAGTAATGAGGGAACACGATCATAACGTTTTGTCCTCCGTTTAACTTACAAAAACAATCGTTCCGGTCGAGTACGGCTATCCTATGCCGACTGTCTTTCGTAAGTAGTACGGCATTTAGCTATGGTCTTTTTACGTCGAATGTAGCCCTAACCTTATTGCATTCGTCTTCGATCGATCTATCCGTATCGACCGACTAGTCAGTCGAGATAGCACGCTCTCTGATTGCCGGAATATTAGCTCGCCAGATATTGGGACGGGGTGGAGCAGATATAAATTGTATGCCGTGTGTCCGATACTCAAGGTAAAGTACAACGCAACCACTATTCGCTAGAAGGGGAAGGTGCTAAATGTCGATGACATCCTCACAGTGCTGTGTGAGGACAATGTCCAACAATGACGGTCGTGTTTCAAGTCAATTTGTGTCGGTTTTGCGATACAATATACAAGTGCACACTGAATAACGGTTGATAAAGGTAGCTATCGAAACCCTACATGTATCTGTACGCCCTATCTAGTTGATGTGCGATGCGTTGAAGTCTTCAATGACGAGACAAGATTCTGCGTTCAAGAACAAATGTGTCTGAAGATAAGGTCGTCAACAAGACATAATGGACTACGGTATATTTCCCTTATAGTCACTATCCCATTTCTAGATTTATTTAAATAATTGAATTACCTACTTCTATGAATGCGGTGTTCATTTTGTTGAGTTAATGAGGTATGGCAACTTGGACCGATGCACATATGTTCCTGGTCCTACATCGTAGCCGACCGACTGAGATTTAATTGTACACCATGCGTCTCCGATATGATTGATTGTATACGCAAGTAATCCCTAACATAAAACATTATGCCTCTTCTCTTGCGACTTATAACTCTACCACTTCCAATACATATTTAAGCTGCAACAATGGAAGAACAGTCTATATCTACGGTGAGCGAAGTTTCTGTGACAACGATTATGTCGGAAGTATTGGCTTCCAAGACCTGACTACTCAAACATTTTAATCACAAGGCTCGTTTTGCCAGTCAGATTCCAAGTTTTTAGCTCCCTGAAGGTATTCTTCCACTTGGTTTGATCTAGTCGGATACGAATATTTTAATCTTGAATCAGTATGTGTTATTCAAAATTATGTCTCTTACTAAAATTTCCGAGTACCAAGTTCAAGATGCTTCTTAGTTAGGTCTCGCCTTCAACCCCTTCAACTAGTCATATTATTTTCGTGATATATACCCCTTAAACCTCTTCTGGCAGTACATACCTGATGGCAGATTTCACTAACTCCAGATCGCGTGCATGCCTGTTAGCAGGGTCATTGTCTTTCGACTCCTCTAGATTCCAAATAATTAAACTAGAATGAGGTCTAACTTTGTTGAAAGTCGTGTTCACTGCTTTTGATCGTAATGTCAGATCCTTCCTGTTAAATACTGTGCGCTTGCCGTTAGTTTTTCTTGTAACATATTTGTGCTAGTCAAACGAATGACGAACGACATTGTTTAATGAGGCCATATATGACAATGTTAAGTATTTTCTTACTTTGGGACTTTGGCGACGTAATGTGCAACGCAGAATGTGAGCCCACGAAGGACTTTTCAAGTAAATGGGTGCTATTTTCGGCTCTCTTTCGTTCTCTTGTATGTTGCCGCGTCATCCATTTACTATCAGTTGCAGCATTTACATTAGTACTACTCGAGACGATAGTGGTTTTGTCTAGGTCATTAGTCGCTGCTGTAGCAACTTGGCCTCCAGTATCTAATGGCGTATCGCTCATTAGTCATTTCAGGGTTGGAGTCCTTATTGTGTGTTGCACAGTCCGGTGTCTGGCACGTGCCGTAACAGCACTTACGACATTGATGCATTCTTCGCTATCAGTACCCATGTTACTGGTACAGGCCTTAACAATCTTTTTGTCAGCTAACGCCAGAAGGCTGGTTGCCTCTTGGAGGAGTAATGTTTCGCTCGAACAACAAAAAATACAAAGCCAATAGGATTTAAGCGGGCACACATCTTATGGAACCGTTTCTTAAACTCATCATATTGCATTCCTTCCACAAGGAAGGTTGCCCACATTTGTCGGGAGAGCCAACCATCTGAAAAATTAATTGAGAATTGTAACACAAAAACGGATATGCAAACAAAAAATTCAAACTTTAACCGAATAAATCATGTCAGTCGATCAAGTATGCTTTGATGCAGTAAATACACTAAAGCAAAGTCAATGCACACAAGTAAAATCTCACTTTAACCGGAATAAATTCAATTAAAGTGTAAGCAGTAATTCACGATCAAAACCGTAAATTTAAGTCAACGAGGAATAACACTGGCTTTTTTTATATACTCGCCCAAGATTCAGATTTGTGTGGTAAGGACAAATGGCCTACGGCCTTTGTTATCCTTTTTCTAGCATGCTTCCGTGAGTATATAGTCTTCTCTTGAATAAATCAATTGAAGGCGCAGACACCACTGCTTCGGATAACAGGTTCCAAGAATTGATGACTTGATGTAAAATCCTGTATTGCACGAGTATTTTGTTACTTCTTGGCTTTTCTACCTGCCTACTATGTCACTTGAGATGTCTTGATCTAGCGAGAAGAAAAAGAGAGGATTCACTAGGCTCAAAATCAGTTCCTAGAATTCTATACATCAAAATTAGGCCACTTACTGATCTGCGTCAGGACAGAGTAAAAAGGTATAACTTCTCAAGCCACTCTTTGTATGGTAAACCTCGAATTTCTGGGTTTGAACGTGTAACTGCCATCTGTACTTTTACCGAGATATCTGAGTCGCCTTTTAAACAGGCGATTGCAGCCTGAACGCGGTTTTCAAGCTTAATTCTCACTAAGGTTGTGTATACTATGGTTAACATTACTTATGCCTGTTACTCCCAATGGAGCATAGGCCGCTGACCAGCATTCTCCAACCCACTTTGTCCTGGGCCTTCTTTTCTAGTTCCATCCAATCCTTGTTCATTTTTCTCATGTCTATCTCCATTTCCCGGCGTAATGTGTTCTTTGGTCTTCCTCTTTTCCTTTGGCCTTGGAGATTCCATGTGAGGGCTTGTCTTGTGACGCAGTTGGGTGCTTCCCTCAATGTGTGTCCTATCCACTTCCAGTGCTTCTTCCTGACTTCTTCCTCCACTGGGATCTGGTTTGTTCTCTCCCACAGTACGTTGTTGCCAATAGTGTCCGGCCAACGGATCCGAAGTATTTTGCGTAGACAACTGTTAATGAACACCTGTATTTTCGGGATGATGGCTTTCGTAGTTCTCCAGGTTTTTGCCCCATACAGTAGAACTGTCTTGACATTTGTATTGAAAATCCTGACCTTGGTGTTGGTTGACAGTTGCTTTGAGTTCCAGATGTTCTTCAAATGCAAATATGCTGCTCTGGCTTTGCCGATCCGCGCCTTCACATCTGAATCAGACCCACCATGTTCATCAATGATGCTGCCCAAATATGTAAAGGTTTTTACATCTTCCAAATCTTCTCCGTCAATTGTGATTGGATTGGTGCATTCTGTGTTGTATCGGAGAATCCTGCTTTTCCCTTTGTGTATATTGAGACCTTTTGCTGCTGAGGCTGCTGCCACACTAGTCGTCTTCTCTTGCATCTGTTGTTGCGTTTGGGATAGAAGGGCCAGATCGTTTGCGAAGTCTAGATCATCCAACTGCATC